TTTTAACCGGAACCACACTTTTTTCATCTCCCCATGTTCCACATTAAACTTCTTCACATGATAGGCCTAAAAATTCTTCCTCTGGGAGAAGGCGGTGAAATTAATGACCTGCTGCACATACACTTATGACATAGGTAACTTGGCTGATCCTAAGATGCCAGATTTCTTCCGTTCTTCCAGCTGCCCAATTGCATTAAATATTATTATATAAAGGTCTATTGCATTTTTGTTTGTTTGTTCTTTTTTGTGGAAGTAGTTGGCTGTATCTGCCACATGGAAATTATGAGCATGACTCATCAAGGATGTAGTATACTGTTATGCATGGAAGAGGATAAGGTCCACAAAATGCCTTTTTTTTTTTTTTAAGTTGAAGCTTTTTATTTGAAGTATTTCTGAAATCCATAGGCATACAAATATTGGCTTATATTAAATAACATACAGATAGCGTTTGTGGAAGTTGCACTGCTGATACACTTAGGAATTGAACTCAGCTTGTCCACATAGCAGACAGAGACTGTGCAACCACAGTGCAAGATTTATGTGATATATTCATTGCTGTGCCATTTTATGGGAAAGTGGACAGCTGTCTATTACAATTTCAACCAGCTAGGATTTCTCATGGTAACCAGAGGTGAAATCGTTAGTGGTCATGTTCACCCTTCACTTCAGCATGCCAAACAGCTTTGTTGGGTTTTACTCCGTAATTTTCTTCCTGCGTTTTGCCTCTCTGACTTACTTGGCACCAAGGGGTGAACTGAAATGACTGTTGGGGCCACATCAGCTAATGTATGCATTTACTTCAGTTGTACAAGCATCTGAGTCAAAATAGACATACAGCTATGAAAGGGACTTATGCAAAATGGTGCAGTAGTTTGCCTAAAAGTAACTTGTTTTATCCAAACCCACATTTTGCATATTCTTATTCAACTCTGTTTTTTAAAAAAAGATTCTGTGACTGAAGCACACTGCAGAAAATGTTTGCAGGAGTAAACAAGCCTCGTCACAGAGGCAATCAATAGGGAGATGTCTGTTTGTATATGATTTTACATATCTGCAAGCTAGCTGAGACATCCAACTACAAAATGCTGCACCATGGGACACTGTGTAGATATCTGATACTTTCCAAGGGATTTGGGGTCTGTAAACTAATGAATGCACTACATGTAGCCATATATGTAGATTTTTCACCTCTGACGAATATGGTAAGGATAATTTACTTCACTTAATAAGCAATTAAGTGCAGTTCAATACAGCTGACTATCGTAAGTTAAATATTCATTTTACGTAACTGTTTCAGGACATCGTGTGTGAGAGAACACAAACGAGCAGAAATTGCTCATGCAAAATGTGAGAGGGGACGACAGCTTGTGTGCGATGCCTTTCAGTGCTATGAATTTCATTTCATAGCACTTTTGCTTTTTGACAGGCATCCTATCCAGGCTGGGGCAGGTTGCAGTCAAAAAAATCTAGGTTGGTATGTAACTTTTGAGTTCAGCGTGGGGGATGTCGCAGAGTGCTGTGATTCACATCGGTGTGCATCAGATTCTTGGGTCGTATGTAAATTGAGGTTGCCGCAGTCAGGTTGGTTAAAGTGTTTGAGCAATGTCAGGCAACTATTGTTGTTCAGGGCAAAACGGAGGGGAAGTCAGTCTGAGGAGACTGAAAAACAACTTCAATCAGAGGTGCAAAACTTGCAGGGCTGCGGGACTGTGTCTGTGCCGCAGTGGTGACGGTGCTGAGGCTTGCGCAGATAGATGTGGGAGAGGACAATGGGCACATCCTTCCCCTTAACCCACACTTCTGTCTAACCCCTGCGACAATTAGGCACAAGCCTACTGGGGAGCCATTCGCCTTTTGGCCATCAATGTTTTTTACCTTCAGACATCCATGGGTTGGTATTTTTGTTGCACTGCTGTCCAGCAGTTAGCGTTAGCCATAGATGTGCACACGTTACCCCTTGCAGCAGGGGAAATACATTCAAATCCCCACCGAAGTGAGTTTCCCGGCAGTCTCGCTGCTGCTGCACAGCTCTGCATCACCTCCAGCATGGTTTGGTGCTTATGAATTACCCAAATGGCCACAGAGTTGTCAGAAGTACGTATGTATAAAACCCAATCAGCCTGATCTCCCCAAAGAAATCTGATAAAAAAAGAATACACAGCTACACTGGTTTTGCTCTGCTGCCAGGTCATTTCTGTTTGCGTTGCACAAGAGCCAAGCCTCAAGATTTGGACCCGTATTTCCTAATTTATTTTGAACAAGAGAAGATTGGAATAGAGACTTTAGAAGGCACTGAGGCAGCCTGCCACACTGGAGAATTTGTTTTGTTTTGGAGATACTGAGACTGCCGCTCAAGAGTTAATTCACTGTGGGGTTGAAAAAATGCAGTCCAACTTTTAAAGTATTTGTCTTATTTCAGCACAACCTAGTGCAAAATACATTTATATATCATAAACACAGTGCAACAACTTTATTAAGGATTAATAAGCTTTATTAAGCATATATTTGTCTGCTGTATGTTGACTAGAAGCTATGAAAAATGTGATGTTACTATTGCTGCATGTTTAAATGATTGCCTGCATATGTATCCATGACAATATCTATTCATCTTCTGTTCTTTATATGTTTTTATTATAAATATCTTTATTCTAGGGGAACATTTTAATATCAAAGTTGACACAGTGAAGTGCAAATTGGAATAGGTCAAATGAAAATCAGATATCTGTATCCTGAATTTATTCCAAGTAGTTTGGTATTGATGAGGTATTTGATCGTTGTCTATATGTCAAGATGTAGCAGCCTTCAGTAATTCGTGCTTTCTAGTCAAAGCAAAGGTTCCACGCTCTCAGCCTTCCAAGTCTGTAGTAAATACTTTACCAGGCATAAGTGATGTATGGGAATTAGATTAATCCATGTTGTAGGGAGTTTATAAGGCTTAGTACATATATGCAGTTTCAAGAAGAGAGTTATTTTCCATAATCATTTATCTCAAGCATAGGAAGCATATGCATGATTATATAATTAACAGAATATTTGTTTGTCAGTGTTTGGTTAGTGTGCATAATAATATCATTATTAGGCCTTCTGTGCTCCTGTATTATCAGATTGTTATCTCCCTGCTCCTTTAATTCACTGTCTCTGCTTTTTAGATTAATCACTTTGTTTTAATGTGAACATTTTAAGGTTTTTTTTTGACCATGAAGGGAATGGTTTGTGAACACCAAAGCAAAAGTTTAGAACTGATTTTAATCTTTTTTTTCTTTGGAGGTGGTGGTGGTGTGGGGTTTTTTTTGTTACTGTCCTATCTGGTAATCATTTTTATAAGGTGGTGTTTTAAAGGTGGTCCTAAATCTTGTTCCAAATCATATTTGTAAATATCTGCTCTATTCTAATAAGCTCTGCGTCTCTCAAATTATCTTCAATGTCCTTTTCCTCCATCATACTGCAGGCAGCATACTGCCAGCTGAAACTCTCTCATCCTTCACGATTTTCTTTTTTAGTGGTCAGTCTTGCTCACTGCTCATGTTTACTGTATCAGGTTTACTGAAAAGGATGAAAAATGATACAACGTTGGTATCTTCCATTGTGCCCGCAAAGTTTGAATTCAACTAGCTAACACTGTTTTTCCTCCAAGTATTCAAATGTATTGGGAAATAATTTTTCCTTTTTTAGAGGGGCTGAAAAATACTCAAATCTATCTTGTTGGAAAAAGATTGGTTTCTAAATAAACAACCCGCTAGACAGTTATCCCTTGATCATATGTTATGGAAGATGTCATCTACATTTCCCCTTGTTTTTCTTTGTGAAACATGTTTCTTGTTTTTTTTCCTTTTCAGCACTCTCGGTAACAATCTTAGTAACCTTTTTCAGGACACGCAACATATGTACAACTTTTCATGTTTCCTCTGTATGCCACCTCCACTTACTCCGCTTTGAATAATAGTATTATGTAACAGCGTATTCATTTTCAAGCGTCGCATTTCTTTGCTTCTGAGATTATAATCTATTTTGTGCATTGCTGAATATGATAAATATTTCATATATTTCACCCTATTACCATTTTCTTTTTCCTGCATGCCCTGTATGCTGTTTGTTCTTATTTCGGTAAACGTCAGCTTATTTCCTTACCTAGTCTCGACGCATTCCTCATCTTCTATACTAAGTAATATATGTGTAGCGGTAATTTTGCTCTTCATAGATTTATTGATTTGCCTTTTCTTTGTTCAGAGGCCATGCTATTTTGCGTATTACAGAACTGGTATTAGCCTCCCCACTTGCCTACTTTTGCTGCTGCTTCAAGTTTGTATGTGCAGTTCGGTATGGGGATTTTTTTGTTGGGTTTTTTTCTCTTTTTTTTTAAAGTTACTACCCAAAGCACTTTAGCTATATATATCTGCCTGCGCAGTAATTCATGTTTTCTTTAGTTCGTGATGCAACTTTCCTTTTAGACATAGTATATTCAAACACTGCGTTTTATCAATAAAGAAGTTTAATTTTTCTCTTATCTCGTAGCTTGTACAAACTTGTTGCTTTCAAGTTTGTCTAGTTGGGCTACTTTTTCCCCCCAAGTGCATGATGGGAAAAAGTTATGTCTGTCTCGCAGTTATTTGTCAATACGTTACCACCTTTTAGTTTTCACTTTTTACGGGTGGCGGCGGGGCCCGCTCTGCAGACGCGCTTCGGGGACACTTTTGCGACGTCCCGCCCCGCGGCGGGGCTGCGGTGTTTCCCCGTCCGGAGCGCGGGGTGATGCGCTGCGCGTACCTGTGCTCCGCCGATGGACGGTTGGGCTCGCCACGGCGGCCACCGCCTCGCCCTT